ATATTGATTACAGAAGGGTAAAAGGCAGCTCTCCTCACCTCCCCTAGCCTGTCTATGATTAAGCATTTATGTTTTCTTTATCCATCTATGTTTATGTACGTGTTAAAAGAATAGATCCAAATTTAAAGTCCTAATAAGGCAACTGCCTGGGTCTGATCCAGGAAAACAGATAGTAATTTTTATGAATTTACATCTTTCTTTGGAAGGAAAAATATGGCTTGGAATCACCTGCAAAACTTCCTTTGATCACTTGCCTGTCAAAGCAGAAGAGTACCTGAAAGTCTGGACTGAAATGCCAAGCCAGGGATTACTTTAAAACAGACAGACAGACAGACAACCGACTGGGTCCTAGCCAAGTGGCCCCAAGGTCTAATTTTCAACCCTGGAGAACTGATGGCAGTTCTGCCTAAGTTTCTGCTGTTCTCTTTACTTTAAATTTTATTCAGCTAAATTTAAGGGCTTGGTATAAAAATAACCCTTGGGAAGGGAAGAAGAATGGATTTAGGGGAAAGCGACAATCATGCCTAGTGGGACCTTCCTGACTTAAGGAATTTCTCTGGTTTTTAAAAGATGAGAGCCATTTCCACTCTATCTTGAAGGAATCTGGTAGTTGCTATGTTAGAAGCAAACAGGATTCTGGGGACCGTTTTTCACAAGGACTTGGGACAGGAAATTCTTTTTAATCTTGCAAGGTGAGTAAATGAGGTGGGCTGTGGGTCCCCTCCAGGTAGCACCATTACCAGTTGCTATGGAGATGAGGCATCTTTTACCCCATGCATTTTACATAGCAGGGAGATGAACTCTGTGAAGTTCCTGAGCTGGCCTGACCTTGGACCAGAGTGACTCTAGGTCACCACTGACAGCCATATCTATGTGTGGTGCTTAAACTAGCCTGGAAAAATACAGACTCCCAGCACAGCAACCAAAATGTGAAACATCCAAGCATAGCCCACCAGAAAGGATTTCCACATAAATCAGTGGTCCAGGCAACGTCTTCCTCCTCAGAGTCTCTCAGATCTCTCTGTAAAAGGTGAGGCTTTTAATTGTTAAATGACAAGCCTCTGAAGAAAACAAGCCCAGGAGACCCAGGGAGGAAACCACAGCACCCAAAATGTGATGTGGGTTGCATCATTTCTTAGAAACTGGAAAGATGTGTTTAAATCCCCTGAAGACTTTTCTCTCTGAGCCCCAAAGTCCTTCTGTCTGTCACCAGAGGCCTCTTTGGGTTTGTGTGAAGCTTGTAGGATCAGCCAAGGCCAAGGCTCGCCATGAAGAAAGCAAGCTGGTAAGGAGCCAAAGACAGACTCTAGAAGGTGGATGCCCCCAAAGGCTTTTTTCACAGTGTTGCAAGGGGTGTAGTAGTAATACACTTGAACTACTCCTTTCCTTCTTCCAATACAAGCATTTTCATTGGGCAGATGAACTGAACAGGTAAGACACATCACGTAGAATGTAGGGGGCATATGGACTATTTTGAGAAACACATGAGATAACTACAATGTTGAGGGCAGCATCTGGCACAGAGTGAGAATGAATAATGACTATTATTCCCCTTTCCTCTTCCCATTCAAGATGATATCAGATCTGAAAACCATGGCATCACTATGGGTCCAAGGGACATATATACTCTCCCATAGATTTGTGATTTTTTTCCCCCCTGGAGACACAATAGAAAAGGTGACTGTGGAAATCAAAGGTGTCTTCCCATTAGAAGAACGCACCTGTTTGTTTGCAAATGTAATTCACAGACCTCATCAAGGAATTCTAATGGTTCATTCCCGAGCAATTGCAGAGGGCTCACATAGCCTGGCAGAGACACACTGGGGTCTGCCAATCCACCCATGAAATCCTGAAGCCCCTGCTTCCAGTCACCTTTTCATTACGCCTTTAAACACATATTCCCTACCCACCAACCATGCCTATTTTTCTACTAGGGTTTTAAGCAATTTAACAAAGAGATCAACTTCTAAAGAGGTATAAAGAAATACAGCTCAGAGATAGCTTTCTGGTGGAAAAAGCAAGGAAGGCAGGTTATATAAAATTACAGAGTACAATTTGATATTTCTCTCCCCTCCCCAATCCCTTGTTTTTGAGAGAAGCTTAAGGGAGAGGATTTCAGGATCAATTGTTACGTCTTTTATAATGAAAATATCAGGATTTTAAAATCTAGATTTCTTTATATTTTCCCGGATTAAAAGAAGGTTATATTTTCTCTTATTGCATAACAAACATGTTTAATGAAGTTTATTTTCTTGGAACCACTAGAGATGGGACAACTTTTGAATTCTCAGCCAGTGTCTACACAGGGCTTATCACTATGTCAAACCACACTGTAGGTGAATGACAGTAAAAGAAGAGGTATAATCAGTTTTAGCAGGGTTACAGGATAACTACTGGAATAGAAAAATGGTTGGGTGGAGGACAAAGTTATAACTCAATGTAGGAGGCCATCCCCCTGGGATCTAGGTGTGGGGCTTACCATCCCTGGGCTGTCATCTCTCTGGCATTGTCACTTAAATGCTCGGGTACAACCAGCACACAAAGAAACTCTATTCCTTACAGTGAAGGAATGGGCATGTGCCAGGGGGCTGGGAACCAAGGCTATTCCTGGGACACGTAGTCATCCTAGGCACAGCAGACGAAGAGAGACCTGCCACTGTGTGGCTGTTTCTGGGGGCTGACCTAGTTTTCTCATCTCTGGACTTTGTACCTTCTTTGTCCCTAAATAGACCATAATGTCATTCTATGCTCCCACTTAAGCCTGAGGCTAGGAGGCCTCATGGAGGTAAAAGCCTCTTTTGAGTTTGTCTGCCAGCAAGAAACACGTATTCAATTATGAGAGCGGTACTCTGTGACCCTGAATCTCTGCCAAGCAAAAGAAAGCTGCATACACACTCCTGAGTCTTTACAACTCTACAACTTGGAGGACACGAGGAGTGTGTAACCGAGCTACAAATCTTAACACTCCACCCACTGGCCACTAGACCAACTGCCTTAGCCCTCAGCCATTCTAAAAGCTCTTCAAAGTATCCTCTGTCCATTTTTCAACATGTTTCTTCCTGCATCCATCCACCAGGCCACTTACTTCCCTTCTCCCCTCCTTCTAACTCCCAAGTCCTATAGACGATAACTAGCAAGATGTGGAGATATATATATATATATATATATATATATATATATATATATATATATGACAATTCTTTTTACTATACCTGAGACAATCTGCTTAATGTCTTGACATTGGGGGGAATAGATATTTTTAATTTAGATCCTTCCAGAAGGTACAGAAAAATAAAGTACAAACACAAATCACTTGACAATTTTATGATTCAAACCAACAAATGGAAAACAGACAGTTTTGAATGCTGCTAACATAGTTAAGCATGTCATGCCAACCCACTCAACCATCCCATTTCTTGGACCTATTTCTAGAGGTACCAAATATGTCTGAAGATGAAATCACTTCTGTGTAGTGAAGAGGTATCCAGTGTGAAACAGGGGAGACAGAACTGTGAAAAGCCGCTGTTTCCTAAACAGCATTTAGGGTTTTATTAATACTCAAAAGTCAGGTTCCCAAGAAACATGTGTGACATCCAAAATGCTAAACGTGACTGAGGAAAAGGACAAGGGTGTTTCATCTTCGGGCAGAGGGTGGTGATTTTCTGGGAAGACACTGCCTTAGACACCAAGTAGAGGAGTCATGGAAGACGTTAACATTCGCTTCATTCTTGCTTGATATAAACATGAGTTTCCGGAAAAGGCCATCCACAGAACATGAACAAAGTCTCCAGTGAACAAGCTGAGGTGGGGTTTAGCAGTTCATTTACAGTTGAGAAAAACTATTTTCGTCCTTTGGCCAAAAACCATACAAGGGGAGGGAACTTAAAACCCTAGACTACTCGACTCTCTGCATTTTTCTGCTTGACGCTGGATGAAAAAGCCTTAGCTTTTGGCTGCAACTCTATTTATGTAACAACCACAGCTGCTCCCCAAAATAGCTGCTGCTGGCTGCAAGAATTATGGGATTTTGTTGCTTACACTCGAGTCCATTTTCTGTAGCACTCGACTGCATTTTCTTTCCTTCACTTTTGTTGCCTTGGGGCTGGCAGGAGATGCAGAATGTTGCCATTTTGTGGAAAGATTTGAAAGTCAAGGCTCATTTTGGCAAGAACCAATTTGGCATCCTATTCTATTCCGAGGCGATCCTTTGACGATTGGGAACACCTTAACTATCCCTCTTGTAACTTATTCCACCTTCCAAAGGTGGCAGTGTGGCTGATAGTGAGGCCCTTGAAACTCACAACCCTCAAAGAGAAAAACACAGCATTTCTGTGTGTGTGTGTGTGTGTGTGTGTGTGTGTGTGTGTGTGTGTGTAGGACAAACCCAACCCTGGGCTGCTGGCATGGCATTTAATAGGGTACCCTCCCCTGAAAGTAACAAAGAGAACCCTCGTCAAAGCTATCAAACATGATAAAAAAATACAAAAGTTATTTTCTCCTTTTGATTGCTATTTACTTGTGACAATATTTGTTAAAAATATTACTTCTGTCTTTGAGAAGAGATCATCCTCTTCATATAGCATGGAAAAATAAACTCTACTGGACACGCAGTCAACACTCGCCACATCTCCAACATCACCTGTGTCAATGTCCTGTTTCCCTTTATGCAGACACCTTTTACCCATACTACCAGTGCTGGAAACACAATGGAAGGAGGTGGCAAGGCTCATGTAGCATTCTGAAGGGGGAGAATTAGAAAACAACGTGCTTTAATACCTAAGAAAGCCGAAGGTTAAGGGGGTTTCCAGCCCTCCTAAGAAGTCATGGGGGTTGTTCCTTCATTTCTTCTAACCACTCACAGCCCTTCCAAACCAAGGTAGACATCAACTGAAGGGTGGGGAGCCATTTAGGCCAATCACAGTGTCTCTATGAAGGAACACAACTTCCACACCTAGGATCATCTTAAAATGCTGAACTGGATGAATGGGAGAAGACAAGGATACATAAAAACAGTAAAATGTTTATTTCTTAGAAAAAAAAGTGAGGAGGACGAGGGATTCAAAATGATTGTGGTCACACTTCCATTTGCGTCTGAGAAAAGCCAATGCTACAAGCTTAACCCTGCACCAAGAGTCCTAGTAAGTGGAACAACCTGTGGCTCACTCCTATGTCACTTCCAGGAGCCAGGTCACAGCTTACTTTTAACCAACTGTGGCTCTTCTACTTCTGAGCAGAGAAACAAGGCTCACCATGGCCACCATCCCATCTCCAAAGACCCACATTACCAGTGAGAAGCAAGGCTCAGGCCATCTCTGGACCACGTGGAAGAGATGGATAAGGAGGAAAGATGGGAGAAGCTTGACTTCAAAGCAGAACCAGGCTAGAACTGAAGTCTGTATCAGAGTTCATCACTACCTCATCTTATAGAAAACAGGTCGGAGAGCATCGGAAAACCAATAGTATCTTTAAGTGAACTGCACAACTTTGCTGCATACTTGGACACAAGAGAAGTGAAAAGTTGCAACAAGTTTTAACTAGCAGCAACAAAGAAAGTTCCAGAACAGTTTTTTGTTTGTTTGTTTGTTTGTTTTTTGTTTTGTGTGTGTGTTTGTGTTTAGCAATATTCCTTTGCAGGTTCATTAAGAAACACTGTAATTTAATGGGGCATACGATATGGAACGATCTTCATTTGCTATAGTGCTGTTCGGTGAAGAGAACCGACCTTTGCAAAGGTTTCAACTGGGGTGTAACCTATTTACACAGTAGTAGCTCCTGGTCTGAGTGGGAGAACCGATGCTATGTTATATCCTCTTCTTCAGAACAGTAATCCCGACCCTGGGAATAAAAAAAAAGGACACATGAATAAAAACAACAAAACAAAACAAACAAACAAAAACACAGGGCCCAAAACAGTTACTGGTGATAATTTCTTCCAGTTTAAGTCTGCTTTGCAATGGAATGCAGGTTTCATCTGTGACTGCTGGGTGCAGAGCGGTGCATCACATACATGTGCTGGCTGATTTTTAAGCTCCATTTATCTCAAGGCACGATATACCACACCTACAGTAAGCTCTGTTAAGATGCTGGCAAGAATTTATGTCAACTTATATTACAGGCGCGTATGAGACGGCGCTCACACAAAGAAATTAAAGAGATGAAGCAGACAGGAGTCTTATCTCTCTCTCATCAGGGAGACTCAACAGTCACTTTCTGCTACTCATATTCTACAGCTCCAACCCCATGCATGCAATGTAAAATGTCAAAGGAGGAGGAAATGTAATCAAGGGATGCTCGAGTTTTAATTCACTCTAAAATGGTTTAAAGGAACAGCAAACAAGGATGTTATGAACATGTGTGACAGATCTGGGGCTGTGCCTGGTCCAAATGAATGACTTCAAGGACATGAGGCTTCCATGTGCCTGCCAGCAAGCAGGTTCTTGGCAGGCTTAAGGCCAGTAGGGAATGGCTGCTTTTGAGCATCTTTTATCCCCTTGCCACTATGATGACACAGCTGGGACCAGGTTTGAAGCTTGGTATTTGACCTGGCTGGGTTGTCTTGATCAACATATGTAACCTTCTGAGGACAAGTCTCCACAGACAGAACTACCTTTCTGATTCATCACAATGTCAAAGGCCAGGCTTTTGTGAAAGGTCAAGTGTCAGGGCCCATTTGTTATTGAGTCTGTTCCATCTTGACTTAAGGTCATAGAGTTCAAACCTATACTTGCTCCTCAAGGTACAACAGGATGTTTGGCGAAAAGTGTGGGTAGCTGATGTCTTGCTCCTCGAGACCAAATAATAGTAAATTTGACTTAGGGTGTGGTCTCTAGATGTACTGCGTATTAAGGAGGTAATTACCTTTGTTTGTTTCTTATATCATAATAAGAAAGTCTTTTGCCCACCTCTTTGATTGGGGTATATAAAAACAATGAGTAAGAAACTTGAAGCATCTGCAGTATTCACTGAGAGCCCTCCTGACTCCATCTTCTGTCTTTTGTCTTTCTTTCTCAATCCTCACTCCCCCTTTCAGGCATGATTCAACAGGTTGGCTGGGCCCAACAGTCAAGATGGATTATTTTGTTTGTACCCCTCACTGATTTCTCTTTTCAAATATAAACTAGATGCTCTATATTTGGGGACAAACACTTCTTTAAAAGCAGAAATTTTGGCTGGCCATTGGTGGTGCATGCCTTTAATCCCAGCACTTGGGAGGCAGAGGCAGGCAGATCTAGAGAGCTAGTTCCAGGACAGCCTCCAAAACAACACAGAGAAACCCTGTCTCAAAAAACAAAACAAAACAAAACAAACAAATAAACACAAGGCTCTACAACACATAAAAATGAGAACCTTAAATAATGTAAGTTGTGTATGACAATGGATGTTCCCATCGTTTATCTTATTTGATAAGCAAGCCATTTATTCCATACTATTTTCTTGTTAACTATTTTATAGTACACTTATTTCAGGCAAGTTCAACTCATACTTTGTTGCTTATTTTGTTTCTGTTTACTCTATCTCATCTTTGCAGATGGTATGCATGGAATATTGGTTACAAATAATTCTTTGTTTACTGTGCACATACTCCTTTGATTTTAGGCTGATTTTTTAAATATTATAAATCATATTTCATTAGATTAAAGAAACTAGAATTCTTGGCTATTTAAGGTATTTTTCTAACCTCTCAGCCCACAGCTACTTTCAGCATATTCAGTAAACTAACTTACTTTTCTTCTTTCTCTTTCTTTCTTCTTCCTTCCTTCCTTCCTTTCTTTCTTTCTTTCTTTCTTTCTTTCTTTCTTTCTTTCTCTCTCTCCCCATCCCTCTCTCTTTCTTTTTTTCAAACAAACCCAAAATCTTCTAAATAATTGGAATGCACTTTTGAAAGCACCAGTGATTATATTTTTAATGAGACTATTCCTCAAATATATAACATGCTTACATATTTCTTTGTTATCTATCTGCACACTGGGAATGTTTCACATTTTCCTAATGCTGAAGTGTCACTATAATGAATTATTAAACACATGTCTGGGTGCTAATCCTGGCTGTATTCCTTACTAATATTGGTACCTTGATCAAGTTACCTCTTTGAGGCTCAGTTTTCTTATTGATGAAATAAAAATAATGACAGTTATCTGGCATGGCTGTTCAAAGTTGGTATTAATAGTGTCTAAATGGTACCTGGCAAATTAATTTGTTCATGGTGTGTACATACATGTATACAAATGTGTTTCACATACAAAAAGAAAACAAAATAAACCAGCAAACACACACTACCACATAATAAAGCCTTGGGATCTGCAGAAGCAGGAATGGTCACCCATTCCTTGACAAACAGCCCCCGACTGCCTGTTCTGTCAGAATGAGCCACTACACAGCCCGATCGAGTTTCCTCCACCATCAGACTGCAGTCCCATATGCCTTGCAGAATGGAAGTCCAGTGTCTACTGAGGTTTGAGTCACTGGCAGTGTAACGCCTCTAGGGGACAGAGAAAATGGGTAACCAATGCTCCCAAGAAGAGTATGCAGGCAGTATTCACCCCATGACAGTCTTCCCAGTGACATGGCTCACGATGACAGCATCCCAAGCTTTGTCCCAGACCAGGCAGGAGCCACCTTCTCAGCCATCAACTGGAGAGTTATAAAGGAGAGGAGACCCCCCTCCCACAAGGTTCCTGACCACTGGGAGTTTATTCTCCAGCATGGGATACAGGACACATACAAATCTAGCAGCACAAGCTTACAAGTATCAAAGCAATGGGCTCTGTGTGGCTGTAACTGGGGAGGTTCAGACTGGGCTTGGAGATGGATGCTGGGTAAGCAGCTGGGCAGGATAGGCTGGGGTCAGAGTTCTCATGGAGATTTCATTAGCATAGAAAAGTGCACCTGTGTAGGGGAAATTGTGGCCAGCCTACCCAAGCGGCAGTCGCCCTGTCCTGGGTGCTCAGGCCAGCTCACAGGCGCAAGCAGTCATTTCCTCCCTGAGCCAAGCTGCCAAGCCTGCCTCAATACCCAGAGACAGCTGCCAGGGACACGCCTGCCAGCAGATACCAATGAGAAAAGGACTTACAGCAGAGTCAGCCCCGAGCCAATAGGACCTCGGGAGGGGGTATAAAGGCAGGCCTAACTTCCTAAGTCTGCAGCATGGCTGATACTCCCTCACTGACTTCACACCCCCTCCCCCAAGGGGTGTCCTAGTAGGGTAACCCAGCACACCTGGGTAAAATGACAGGCTTTGGTTTCTTGGGCACAGTCACTTTCTCTATCCCATAAGGCTATGATAAGGGTTATGTGCGTAAAAATATTTCTTTCTGTCAGATAGTCATTAAATGTTAGTTGCTGTCACTGTTATTGTTTCAGGCTCCCAGTAGTGGTGAAAAGCCTTATTTGTGAGTGAGGGCAGTGGTCACAAAGTGAGACCTGACAGTCCATGGAAAAGAACTCCCTCCCCCTCCCCAGCAGTAAGTCCCAGGCTGATCTGAATCCCAATCCCATACATGAGGACAAATTCTATGACAAAAACTAAAGTCCCTTCCCATCTTATGTTAAAGTAAGGCCTCACATCTAAGTGGTTTAGCTAGCTCATGTGAGGTTGGACGGGCCCCTCTACTATGAGGAAGTACACGCTTGCACGCGCGCATGCGCGTACACACACACACACACACACACACACACACACACACACACACCATAACAAAAAACCTAAGAGACCATTTCAGATACTGCAGGTTTACTGACAGCACACAAAGGCCCTCTATCACACCCCTTGAGGGACAAAGCTGAATAAACCCTCTGTCTAAGCCAGACCCTGAGACTTGCATTTCCGGAGAATTTGTTCCCCTAAATTTTTCTAATTATTACGAGGAGAAGGAAAAAACCCACACAAGTTGCTTTGCAGACATCATTTCATTTATTATTCATATCGACTCTGCAGGGTAGGAATAGAGTCTCGTGGCTTGTGAGCAATCTCAGAGAAGCCCAAGATCCCAGAGCTAATCTCTACTTTCTGGGGAGGCCATAGTAACTTGATAAGAAAATTCAAATTCCAGTTGGTTTCATTTTTCTTATCTCCTGATGGCAGCTCAGAGGATGAAATACTTTGGGAACAAAGACTTCAGAGATCAGGACATACAGCAGCTAAGAGGTACCACATGGCGTGAAGTCCTAAGTGACACAGAGACTTGCTGGGAGGGCTCCAATCCCCATATCCCACGAGTCCTCCCATTTGCACACTGAGTCTAATGGGCAAGCCAGGGAACCAGCTTCTGCTGACAGGACTTCATGTCTCGTTTAAATTGTTTAAAGAAATTCTAAAACCAGAATGGTCAAACTTTCAGCAGTCAGGGAGGCAGGGAATAGGATTGAGCAGGCTGGGGACACACAGTAAGTCTCTTAGGGGAAGAATGCCCTTCCACACCCATAAGGGGACCCAAATTGTGGAAGCCTCTGTAAAGACCCTTTATGCAATTGTGTGCTAGTCACAATTCCAGCCTTGGGTAAAGGACCCACCAAAGAATTTTCCAGGAGGCCCCAGCACATTACAAAAATGGAAACTGCAAATGACGCTGTCAAAAAAGGATCATTTCAAAGAGCCACAGGGGCATTTTTGTACAAATTCAAATGATAGGAAAATCTGGGTCTGGTGGCACAGACCTGTCATTTTTAGCCACTTGGGAGGCTGAGGCAGGAGGAGGTTTCCAAGTTCAAGACCAGCCTGGGCAACTTAACGAAACCCTGTACCCAAAAAACAATAACAAAGAGATGGTACAGCTTAGTGATAAAGTGTTTATTTAGCATGTCCCAGCCCAGGCACCACAAAACAATACAAATGGTAA